AGAAAGGAGGTTCCATCTGAAGATGAGGAAGAACTTCTTGACTGTGAGAGCCGTTCAGCAGTGGAACTCTCTGCCCTGGAGTTTGGTGGAGACTCCTTCTTTGGAGGCTTTTAAACAGAGGCAGGATGGCCATCTGTTGGGGGTACTTTTAATGTGATTTTCTCAGCAGCCTTTGATACCATTGACCACGGTATCCTTCTGGGACATCTCAGGGATATGGGACTTGAAGGTGCTGTTCTGCAGTGGCTCCAGTCCTTCCTTGAGGGTCGGTCCCAGAAGATGTTACTGTGGGACACCTGCTCGTCCTCACAGCCACTGACTTGTGGGGCCTTGCAGGGATAATTACTGTCCCCCATGTTGTTTAACATTTACATAAAGCTGCTGGGAGAGATCATCCAGAGTTTTGGGGTTTGATGTCATGTATACGCGGATGATGTTCAGCTCTATCACTCCTTCCCACCTGTCACTAAGGAGGCTGTGCAGGCCGCTTGGCCGCTGTGTCAGTCTGGATGAGGGTGAACAAACTGAAACTGAATCCAGACAAGACAAAGGCCCTACTGGTCAGTCACAAGGCCGAACAGGGCATAGGGTTACAGCCTGTGTTGGATGAGGTTACACTCCCCTGAAGACGCAGGTTCGCAGCTTGGGAGTGATCCTGGATTCATCGCTGAGCCTGGAACCCCAGGTTTCAGCGGTGGCCGGGAAAGCTTTTGCACAAAAACTTGTACACCAGCTGCGCCCATACCTTGGGAAGTCTGACTTGGCCACAGTGGTCCATGCTCTTGTTACATCCTAAATAGATTACTGCAACACACTCTACGTGAGGTTGCCTTTGAAAACTGCCCAGAAGCTTTAACTAGTCCAACAGTCAGCAGCCAGGTTGCTCACCGGAGCAACATACAGGGAGCACACAAGCCCTCTGTTATGCCAGCTCCACTGGCTGCCAATCAGCTTCCGAGCACAATTCAAAGTGCTGGTTTTAACCTTGAAAGCCCTAAACAGTCCTGGCCCAGACTACCTGTCTGAACATATCTCCTGTTACGAACCATCACGAAGTTTAAGATCATCTGGAAAGGCCCTGCTCTCGATCCCACCGCCATCGCAAACGTGATTGGTGGGGATGAGGGACAAGGCCTTCTCGGCAGTGACCCCCTGCCTGTGGAACTCTCTCCCCAGGGACATCAGACAGGCCACCTCCCTCCTGCCTTTTAGAAGGAAACTTAAGACTTGGCTATGGTACCAGGCATTTGACCAGTGAATAGTGGCAAGTGGATTGGATTTGGATTTGGTTTTTAACTGGTGTGTTTAATCAATTGTTTTAATGAACTGTTTTAATGTTTTAATGCATTTATTGAATGTTTATGATAGTGATGGCATCGTACAGTGCTTGTTGTGAGGCTGCCCTGAGTCCCCCCCTCGGGGTGAGAAGGGTGGGGTACAAATGTAGGAAATAATAATTTTCCTGCTTCTTGGCAGAATGGGGTTGGACTGGATGGCCCATGAGGTCTCTTCTAACTCAAGGATTCTATGATTACTTCCCTCAATGCAGGCACGATACCCTTATTGGTGCAGCCCAGCAGTGGATATCTTTAGGACAATTCCAGATTAGGATTTTATCACAGTGTGTCTCATTTGATTAATTTTAAGGGATATTACATAACGAACCTCCACTTTTAATCATCCATTGACTTTCCCCACAATTTCTCCTTTTTTCCTACTATGGAAAACCCACTAAGGAGGAACCCTTCTTTGGAAATACCTTTCACCAAAGAAGGTTCCGAATGATGCACTGCATAGGAAAAGCCACTTGTTTGAGTCACAGAGATCATGAAGAAGAAGAATACTTACCAGAAATGTAAGAAACTGGTAATAGATAAAGGTGTTCTTGAAAACTCGCCCATCCTCCTATCTGATGTGGGTTTCAAACTTCATCTTCAGACTTGGATTTTGCAACAACATGGTGTTTAACAACTCCTCTGTGTTTGTCCCTCCCTTCTTCTCTCTCACATACACACCAAAAATAGTTAAACCAAAGAGGATTCAGCAGAGATCAAATTAGGTGATGCTGGATCAATGGCATCTTTTAAAGTATGAGCAGTGGGTCTGTAGCTTCGGTTGTCAGCACTTTGAAAGCAAATCCCTTCAGAAAGCGCCAACTGGTTTGTTTCCATTTCCATGATAAAGGGCTTTAGGCAGCAAAGAAAATAATTTTTCATTGTGTCAAGCTTATTGGAGAATCAATAAACGTTTTGCAGATGGATTAGAGGTAGGTCTCGGGGACCATCACGTTAAAAGGGAGCAGCTGCAGCTGTGGGCTGTCTTCAGTTGATGTTTTGTATTCAAGATCCAGAGGATTAGAACCGGGAGAGAGGAGGGAGAAGCAGGCAAGAGGCATGGGGGCAAAAGACCCTCATGAAAATGCCCCACTGATCAAAGGCTCTTTTGAGCTCTGAGGAAGGCAGCCTGGTTCCTTGTCCATCACCTCATGGATATTCTTTCTTTTCTTTGTCCAAATGATTCTCAGATGAGGGGAAACTTCTTATTTCCATAGCAAGGTTGAAAAGGGGGCTTCTCAGCCCAGGAGACACAGTGGATGACACCAGGCTAGGAGGGTCGCTAGTTTGACCTTTAAGCTCCACATATTATAGGCAAAGGCAAATGAGCTATAGAACAGCATTTTCATGTGGAAGGCCCCAAGATCAATTTCTGGTGTCTCCAGTTAAACAGATCTTTGACACTCGAGTGCAGTGAGTATTGCCAAACGTTCCCAGCTGTTCAGTGGCATTAAAAAGTGTTTAGCAGGCCCTGCTAGATAGTTTGATCTCAACTTGGCAATTCAAGGCTGGTAACAGGCCAGAGAATTGAGGATTGTGGAGTCGATCCCACAGTTAATAACATACTTGTACAGTTCTCATAGCTATCAAGATGGATGATGTGATAAAATCCTAATCCGGGTATGTCTTTAAAAGGGAGATATTCAGAGCGCATCATGTATAGCAGGTTTGGGCAAACACAAGACCAGGGGCCGGATGCCACTTCTTGAACTCTTTTCTTAGGCCCTCCTCTCTCTCACTATCCTATCCTATCCTTCCTTCTCTCTTTCCTTCCTCCCTCCCTCCTTCCCTTCCACCCTTTCGTTCTTCCTTCCCTCTTTCCTCCCTCTTTCTCCTTCCTTACCTCCCTTTTGTCTTTCCTTCCTCCTCTCTTTCCCCCTTCTTTTCCTCCCTTCCTTGTCTTTCCTTCCTTCTCTCTTACGCCCTTCCCTCCATCCCTTCCCTTCCTTCCCTCCCTCCCCTGTCTTTCCTTCCTTCTCTCTTTCCCCCTTCCCTGCCTCCACTCCCTCCCTCCTTCCCCTTCCACCCTTCCTTTCTTTTCTTCTTCCCTCCCTTCCTTGTCTTTCCTTTCTTCTCTTTTTATCCCTTCCTTCCCTCCCTCCCTTCTCTTAATCCTCCCTTGTTTTTCCCTTCTTCTTTCTCCCTTCCCTCCCTCCATCTATTCCCTTCCACCCTTCCTTCCTTCCATCCTTTTCTCCCTCCCTCCCTTCTTCCTCCTTTCCTCCTGGGGAAAGTTTAGCTGGGAGAAGAGAAGGTAGGAAGAGAACATGAGAAAGATGCTTCAAGATTTAAAAGGCTGTCCCACCCTTTCGTCCTTCCTTCCCTCTTTCCTCCCTCTTTCCTTCTCTTCCTCCTTCCTTCCCTCCCTTTTGTCTTTCCTTCCTCCTCGCTTTCCCCCTTCCTTCCTTCCTTCCTTCCCTCCCTTCCTTGTCTTTCCTTCCTTCTCTCTTTTGCCCTTTCCTCTGTCCCTTCCCTTCCCTTCCACCCTTCCTTTCTTTTCTTCTTCCCTCCCTTCCTTGTCTTTCTTTCCCTCCCTCCCTTCTCTTAATCTCTCCCCTGTTTTTTCCTGTCTTCTTTCTCCCTTCCCTCCCTCCATCTATTCCCTTCCACCCTTCCTTCCTTCCATCCTTTTCTCCCTCCCTCCACGTTTCTTCCTGGGGAAAGTTTAGCTGGGAAAAGAGAAGGTAGGGAGGGAACATGAGAAAGATGCTTCAAGATTTAAAAGGATGTCCCATTGAGGAGGAAGGGGAAAACTGACTTTCTGCTGCTCTAGAGACCAGGGCACAAGGGAGCAATGGGTTCAAATGGCAGGGAAAGAGATTCGACTGAAAAGATTAGGAAGAACTTCCTGAGAGTAAGAGCTGTTGGAGAGTGGCATCGGCTGCCTGGGAGTATGTTGGAGTCTCCTTCTCTGAAGGCTTTTCCACAGAGGCTGTCTATCAGGAGTACTTTGATTGTGCCTTCCTGCATGGCCCTTGGGGGTCTCTTCCAGTGCTAGGATTCTGTATCAGGAGTAGGCAATACAGGGTCTCATGGATACACTTTATTCTCTCTCATCCACCATCTCATCCTGACCAAGGCTAACCCTTTTGGGATCCAAATATTTCCCATCTTCCCTTCACTTTTTGCCTCCAAAAGAGAAGAGGAAGGGGAGGAAAGGGCAGGCAGGGGGCTTGGGGACAAGCAAGGAACGTGGTCGTGGCCCTTGCACCCCCCAAAAAAGGATGTTGACATTGTTCTTTCTCCCTCCTCTTATTTACGTGACTGGGAGTTAACAGGGATAATCAGGAAGATTGACAGTACTGTAAAGCAATACACAAAGATGGAGAAACAACCGGGAGAAAAGGGAATCTGGGAAGGATAGTGTGTGCATTTCTATAATTTAACTCTTGCCCAGTTTTGCCACCATCAAAATCATAGAATCATAGAATCAAAAGAGTTGGAAGAGACCTCATGGGCCATCCAGTCCAACCCTCTGCCAAGAAGCAGGAATATTGCATTCAAATCACCCCTAACAGATGGTCATCCAGCCTCTGTTTAAAAGCTTCCAAAGAAGGAGCCTCCACCACACTCCGGGGCAGAGAGTTCCACTGCTGAACGGCTCTCACAGTCAGATACTAGATTGCATAGCAGGCAAGAGTTTACAAAGCAAACAGACATAACCTGTGACTTTCCAAGTCAAGTGCCGCTCATCATGTATTGCAAACTGTGGAAAACTTCGTTTCTGAAACTAAAAAGGTAGGCCCCGACAGGACTCAGCATGGGACTGATTCAGCTTAGTGGGCTGATATGCAACTTCCAGCAAGTGCCCCAAGCTGAATGCATTGTGAGTCCTTTTCTAGAGTCCAGCACTTGGCTGCTAGGATGAAAGAGAGGGCACGAAAAGGCAAGAATGATGTAAGAACTCACAACAGCAGTCAAGACAGCCAGTGACAAAGAGATCAAATGTTACCCGCATTTACGGTCCAGCTTTTAGATAAAATCAAATCGCTATTTTTCTCTTTCAAGTACTAAATGAAGGAAGGCTTTATACAATTACAGACACAGTTTCTTCTGATCTCCTGCTTCCTTTTTATTTAAGGCGACGGCTTGATTCCCAGCTCTCGCTTCTGATGTCACTTTGACCGCTTCAGCACTTGCTCCTCGAGGTCCATGTATCTCTTAAGCAAAGGCTGGTAGACCTAAGGTAGAAAAGAGGGATTCAATTTTAAGGAGGCCAATGAACCTTACCTAGCATCGCTTATATTCTTACAGCTGTTCTTTGCATGGACAAATGTGTTGTTTGACATATGGATTCTGGACCTCCACAGGCTACAGCCTAGGACCCTAGACACATTTATTTATTTACTTACTTCATTTCTATCCTACCTTTCTCGACTCAAGGCGGCTTACAAATCTGACAAAAAGTTCCACAACCGAGGGGCCACCACTGAGAAGGCCCTGTCTCTCGTCCCAACCAATCGTGCTTGTGAAGAGGTTGGGACAGAGAGCAGGGTATCCCCAGTTGATCTTAAAGCTCTTGAAAGCTCATAGAGGGAGAAAGTTGGACCAGAACCATATAGGGCTTTATAGGTCAGTGGTTCTCAACCTGTGGGTCCCCAGGTGTTTTGGCCTACAATTCCCAGAAATCCCTGCCAGTTTACCAGCTGTTAGGATTTCTGGGAATTGAAGGCCAAAACATGTGGGAACCCACAGGTTGAGAACCACTGTTATAGGCCAAGCCTAGCACTTGGAATTGGGCTTGGTAGCAGACTGGCAGCCAGTGAAGTGAGGTGACAGAGTAGTAGTATGCTCCCTGCATGCCACCCCAGTTGGACTAATTCAGTATTTCTCAACCTGGAGGTCGGGACCTCTGGGGAGGGGGGGTCATGAGGTGGTGTCAAAGGGATCACCAAAGATCTTCAGAAAACACATTGGTCATGAGGGTTCTGTGTGGAAAGTTTGGCCCAATTCTATCGTTCTATCATTAGTAGGGTTCAGAATGCTCTTTCATTGTAGGTGAACTATAAATTCCAGCAACTACAACTCCCAAAGGGCAAGGTCTATTTTCCCCAAACTCCACCAATGTTCACATTTGGGCATATTGAGTACTCTTGCCAAGTTTGTCCCAAATCCATCATTGCTTGAGTCCACAGTGCTCTCTGGATGTGGGTGAACTACAACTCCCAAACTCAAGGTCAATGCCCACCAAACCCTTTCAGTATTGTTTGTTGGTCATGGGACTTCTGTGTGCCAAGTTTGGTTCAATTCCATCACTGGTGGAGTTCAGAATGCTCTTTGATTGTTGGTGAACTATAAATCCCAGCAACTTCAACTCCCAAATGACAAAATCAGTCCCCCTAAGCAACCCAAGTATTCAAATTTGGGTGTATTGGGTCCCATGAATGAAAATAAATCCTCCATATCGGAGATTTACATGATGATTCATAACAGTAGCAAAATTACAGTTGTGAAGTAGCAACAACAATGATTTTATGGTTGGGGGTCACCACTCCATGAGGAACTGTATTAAGGAGTTTCAGCATTAAAAAGATTGAGAACCACTGGACTAGTTGAAGCTTCTGGGCCGTTGAAACACATACCCTTCCCTTCTAAGTAGAGATATCACACTATTATGCAGGCAATAGATGGGAGTAAAATAATATATAAGATTACTTTATGGCTAATAGATTCTTGGTGCTCAAGAAGTTGCAGCGCCATCAAGAACTCACTTAGTCATCCATCCATCACCAACCAAGACTTTGGCTGCATGCAGAGTTATATACAGAAAGAACTATTGTTCCTCGGTGGAAAGGCAGTTGAGACAGGACCCAACAAAGGAATTGCATCAACGTCTGAGTGCTGCTTGCGCAACTTATTATTCTCATATAGATGGATCTCGACATTTGATTGCAGAAGATGCCTTGTCATTTATTTGCCATCTGTAACACTTACGGAGTACAGCATTTGGAGTGATGCTTTCCATCAACTCATCCACCCACATAGGAGCATTCAACCACTCACTACACACTTTCTATAGTTTCTACAGTATTACTGTGGAAAGAGAGCTCTTCTATGTTAGTTACACTGGTTATGTAGCTGACTTTCTACACAGTTGTCTCTAATCTATCACATTTCCCAGATATTTTTGAACTACCATCAGTATGTCCTACTAGTTAGTAATGGTGGGATAGGGCTTTGAAATGGGCAGATCAAGTGAAGACTCAAGGTTAAGTATAGGTTCAATGGATTGTTGCAGTTTTTTTTGGGCTGTATGGCCATGTTCTAGAAGCATTCTCTCCTGACGTTTTGCCTGCATCTGTGGCAGGCATCCTCAGATGTTGTGAGGTCTGTTGGAAACTAGGAAAATCGGGTTTATATGTCTGTGAAAAGTCCTGGATGGGAGAAAGAACTCTTGTCTGTTGGAGCTAGATGTGAATGTTTCAATTGGCTACCTTGATGGTCTGACAGTTTTTAGGTGAGGCTTGTTATTGGCTGGGGGAATCCTTTGTTGAGAGGTAGAATCAAGAATCATAGAGTTGGAAGAGACCTCATGGGCCATCCAGTCCAACCCCCTGCCAAGAAGCAGGAATATTGCATACAAATCACCCCTGACAGATGGTCATCCAGCCTCTGTTTAAAAGCTTCCGAAGGAGGAGCATCCACTACACTCCGGGGCAGAGTTCCACTGCTGATTAGATGTTCCTGATTGTTTCTTGTCTGGAGTTCCCCTGTATTTGAGTTGTTCTTTATTTTGTTATAATTTTAGAGTTTTTTAATACTGGTAAAATAAATCAAACACAGGGGAATTCCAGACAAGAAACAATCAGGAAGAACAGTATGTCCCAGTAGTTCCATTCAGAATGTAATTTCTGGTTTCCTTATTTTGATTCTACTTCTTGTTTCTCATGTTGTGACCACCTTCCATCTGGAAATTTGTGTCCTTACAGTGAAAGACCATGTAGATCCAAAATAGGTCTCCGCAGTCACTTATGGACCCATCACATCTAATCACCTCTCAATAAAGGATTCTTCCAGACAGTAACAAGCCACCTAAAAAAATGCCAGGCCATCAAATGCTAATCAAGGTGGCCAACTGAAATATTCACACCTAGCTCCAACAGACAAGAGCTTTTTCCTACCCTGGACTTTCGACAGATATATAAACCCAATCTTCCTAGTTCCTGACAGACCTCACAACCTCTGAGGATGCCTGCCACAGATGCAGGTGAAACGTCAAGAGGGAATGCTTCTCTAGAACATGGCCATACAGCCTGAAAAACCTACAACAACCCAGTGATTCCAGCCATGAAAGCCTTCGACAATATCAATTCAATGCTATGTTTGCTTAGATGCACTCTGCTAAGCTGTCCTTCTTTCCCTTGCTGCAAAACAGAGACCTACAGAGCTTGAGCAGAGACAATATGACACGGATGTATTTCATACATTAAAATTGGCTATAAAATGCTTTCTGCAGCTTTACATTAGCGGCTCTTTTACAGCTATATTTTAATGATGGACTCTTAACGGTTTCTATGGAGATCATGATAGTTTGCTACTGATAAGGATTCCTGCAGCAGGCACCAGTCGTAAAGTCACAAAGAACTTCTAGCTAGGCATGGACTTGGAAAACTGATCAGTAGGATGTGGTTGACCTTTTGAGGGAGAGGGTCCCCTCTTCACTTCCTTACACTCTCAACCTTTTTGACTCACTGAGCCCCTTTTAGAATCAATTTCTATGGCACATCCCATTAGGCCTTCTCTATGTCCTACAAGTTAATGGTGTTTAGGAGTAGTGTTGCGGGGGGATGAAGAAGGAATAGATAAGAGAATGTAAAAATATATGTAAACAATTGCACAACGTCCATGCGATGAAAATGTATTTTAAAAACTTTGAAATTGACCAATTTACAGCCTCGGCGTCTCTCCATTTCGCACTAAAGTAATTCTGGAGCTGGTGGCCACAGAATGAACAAGTGTCCTCTGCTTGAGGAGGCGTGAAACTCAACTTGGCCATTTTTCCATTCAGAATGTAATTTCTAGTTTCCTTATTTTGATTCTACTTCTTGCTTCTCATGTTGTGACCACCTTCCATCCGAAAATCTCTGTCTTTACAGTGAAAGACCATGTGGATCCAAAATAGGTCTCCACAGTCACTTATGGACCCATCACCAAGACTTTACTCTTGAAAGACAATCATGTTCAGCCACAAGACAGACAACATTTAGGTCAGGGGTTCTCATCCTGTGGGTCCCCAGATGTTTTGGCCTTCAACTCCCAGAAATCCTAACAGATGGTAAACTGCCTGAAATTTCTGGGAGTTGTAGGCCCAAACACCTGGGGACCCATAGGCTGAGAACCACTGATTTAGGTGAAAACCATCGCAGAGATTAAGATCCTCCAGGGAGACCATGCTTTCCGTCCCGCCATTGTCACAGGCACGATTGGTGGGGACAAGAGACAGGGCCTTCTCGGTGATTGCCCCCAACTATGGAACTCCCTTCCTGGTGAGATCAGGTTGGCCCCTCTCTCCTGTCCTTCAATAGGAAAGATGACCAAGCCAATTTAGATTTGACACAGATGAACAATGACCATTTTCAATGGTGTATTTTAATATTTTGATAAATGTGTTTAATGTTTATGTATTTATATAAGAATTTGTGTCCCAGCATTGAATGTTTGCCGTATATATGCTGTGCTCCGCTCTGAGTCCCTATTACAGGGAAAACTTGCTGATTCCCTCTAAATTCCATCTAAAACACAGACGTGTGCTTTTCATCTTAAGCATCTTGAGGTCTGAGGATTACCTGGGAAGGAATCCCACTGGAGCGTTGCAGCACACCCAAATACCTGGGAGTCACTCTGGACTGTGCTCTGACTTATAAGAAGCACTGCTTGAATATCAAGCAAAACGTGGGTGCTAGAAATAATATCATACAAAAGCTGACTGGCACAGCTTGGGAATCACAACTAGGCACAGTGAAGGCATCTGCCATTACACTTTGCTAATCTGCTGCTGAATATGCATGCCCAGTGTGTAATATTTATTATCATGCAGGCATGCAGCCGGGGGGGGGGGGGGGGGTGGGGGGGTGGGGCTTCAGCCCCCCCCCCCCCCCCCGAAATTCTCATGGTGGTTCTGAAAAGGCCTTACTGGTGCATTATTTAAACTGTTATGTTTATTCATATCATGATCTGATCA